AAATGGATACATTGAAAATATTACTGTGGAGAATCATATGTAATGATTTGAAAAATGAAAACAATTAATTTCGAAAATCTCTCTATATGTCAAAAATGGTCGACTTAAATTGTTATAATTAGATGGCAACTATAGGAAAAAGAGCACATGAATACACATCAAATGAAAAAGAATAAAAAGACTTACAGAAGCAATGCTTATGTACATATGCTGGTAAAATTAACTTGCTAAGCTAAGTTGGACAATAATTGGATAACCCAAAATATGAAGACAGTTTCGAACCTGAGAATGAAGATCTGGAATAAAAGTTTTTACATCAATAAGAAACAAGTCACTTAACATGTGCAATACTTGTTATATAGAGTATGTACAATGACATATTCATGTTGGTATTCTTTATAGTTCTCTTCGAATCTTTAATTATCTATCAAAAACTGATCATCAGAAAATAAATTCAAAAAGGATAACTGCAATAAAATTATCTCCACACATATCAATAGTTAAAAAATACTAAAATGAAAATCAAGTGAAAGCTTTTCTGTGAGTGAATCAATAAATTGATCATTATTTACATAAAATTTCATGTATTGGTTACCATGTGCCAACCATTAGATGATTGAACTTCTGACTCTGCAAAAAAGGACTTAGGGTATGCTTGAGTCACATTATTTTGAAAGAATGTATTCTGGAATAGTAGATTGATGGAGAATTTGTAGTTGAAAAAGAAAGAAAAGTTATTGATGTGATAAAAAATATTATTTTATTAAAAAATGTGTGGTTAAAAATGAGTAAAAGANTGCAGGCATTGGAAGCAAAGAACTTTTCAGAGTGTGTTTGATGCATGTTAAAATGGAAAGAATGCATTTTTTTTTGTGATGTGATGTGATGGAGAATATGTGGTTGAAAAAGAAAGAAAAGTTATTGATGTGATAAAAAATATTATTTTATTAAAAAATGTGTGGTTAAAAATGAGTAAAAGAATGAAAATAAAAATTTTAATGTGTACCAAACAGAGGCTTAATAAGATTACTTTTAATTCTCTACTTCTACATAGCAGTGTTCTAAAATGCCTAATGCGTTGCGATGCGTCGAGATCGAGAATCAAGAATCACAAGTTTAGGCATGTCAATGTGAAAAATAAGCGTTATAATGCGTTTCGTATTTTCAAGGCATTAAATATATTTTTATATAAAAAAAAATAGATTTTTACCAAAAAAAACAAAAATTAGGCGGCGCATTAGCGGGATTCGTGCGCCTAGGCGACGAATTTTAGAACAAAAACCCATTTTCCGCGCATACCTCGAATTCGACTCGTTTTCTCCGCGCGTCGCGCCTAGGCGGCATATTTGCGCGCATTTTAGAACATAGCTACACTACAGAGCTCGGATGATAGAACAAATTCAACGAGTATAATATGAAGAAAAAGAATAAATGTGGAAAAATCATGAAAAATAAAAACCACCAGGGCTACAATTATAAATCTTCTCAAAAAAAAGCTGGTAATTTCTAAATATGCTCGCAATGAAGACTAACCACCTTTTACATCCTTTTATTATTATTTTTCTATTTTCGACTCTAAAAAAAGGATAAACTTATAACTTTCCCATTTTTTAATTTTATCTTCCATTTATCTCCAAAGGCCCTCAAAAATGATAAATGCATTTCTTTCATTTTAAGTGAAGAAGCTTATCAATTAAACCACGAACATTTAACACCAACTTGTCATGACAAAGAGAAATAGACGTTTCTAATTTTGCCTCAATGGCTTACAATCAAAATAACTAGGTACTTTGTGTGCAAATAAATAATTTGAAGTGCACTGGGGATCAACATTTGGTGCAAATAAAATTCAATAGCAATACAATCTTTAAAGAAAGAAAGTGCCCTGATAGATAATTTCATTGAGCTCATCTTTCCGTAATAGTGAAATAATTCAGTCAACAAAGCATTCCTCAAACTACTACATCTCCCTTTAATGTAATGTGAAAATATGCATCAGCAAGGGGAAGTTTAAGAGTCTTGTCAAGCTTGTAACACAACTCGATCATAGATTCATCAATTATACATCTTTGAAATGATAGCTTTGCAGATTGACAAGACTCGTTGTCAGTACATATAGAAAAATCGCATGGAATGAACTTGCTCTTTGAGGGCAATTGTAAAGAGGAATCAATTTTGGGAAAATCGCATCATAATTGTATCAAAATAGGTGGAATATTTCTCCTCAACATATTTTGATCCAAACCATGATTCAAGTTGAATATCCGGACCACGCCAAAAGAGGAGAATTGAATGTCGAATTTGCATTAAACTATTAACATTTAGTAGACGTAAAGTAGATCATGAACCAAAAACTAGAAAGAAGATGACATGATAATTTGAAACAATATTTTAATTTAGTCCGTATTTGGCAAAGGAACTAAAATTAGTCATCAATCACTCATATCGGATTTGTGAGTTAGTTGGGTCATCACTGCTAATTCAACTAGTAGATCAATTAATTTAGAGTGTATTTGGTAGGAATTTTTGGGGGAAGAATTGATTTTTGAATAGTGATATGATGGGAAATGTGTGGTTGAAAAAGAAGAAAAAAGTACTTATGTGATGGAAAATATTATTTTATTAAAAAATGTTTGGTTAAAAATGAAAATTGATTTACTGTAGAAAATGAAAATCTGTACCAAACAGGCCCTTAATCAGATAACAAATAAATAACAAGTATTTTCGTTAACTAATATGATTATTGCATAATTAGACATTATGAAAATCGGTTCACGAGACACTTCACTTATTAACCACCAATTTTATGCAGCATAGTAGTTATGAACCTTAAGGTTAACTTTTGCAAACTTTTTCACCTATTGCAAAGATTTATTGCTAATATTTTTCAGAATATTATGCATATTTTCACATTGATAAAAAAAAAATGCCAAACAACAATAAACAAATACTAGTGGAATATGATTCTTCTCATCTTAGCACTAAAGTTTTTGCACACAAATTAGGTGAAACTTGAGAACGCTTATTTTCAAAGAAAACATTCGACATATAAAAAATTCTTAAGATCTAAAGTAGAAGGTTTTGTTCAATATTTCCATAATTAGCAGTGACATTTTCAAAAAATTTTAACTCACTACTTTTAAAGTTGCCTAATCCAAGAGTTACTAGCATATGTTGATCATTTCTCAAAGTTTAAGGAGTTTTAGAGTAGAATAACATTATTACCAATTTTCTAGGTTGAAGTTTTGTACTCCCTAGACCTAATTGAGTTTGCATCTCATTCGCGTATAGGCTGAGTTGTATAACTTTTATACGGATTTTTTTCTCAATCGAGAATTCTTCTTTGAAATTATTGGGGTTTAATTGGTATCATGTTATTAATCAACCCATCAACCTTCAATTGCAATAAGGCCTTCTAATTAACGAACTAAGGAGCTTACTAATAACTATTTGCCTAAGATTGTTCCTTGACCTTTAAGTCTTGCGTCAGAAGGTCATAAAATCATAATTTTGTTGGAATCATGACTAAACCAGCTTGTTCAGATTTCATTTAAAATGCCTTGATATGTTAGTTGAATATAGTCTATTCTTCGGAAAAATTGTGATTTTACAAGCAAATCAATTTAAATGATCAATCTTGCACACTCAATAAGATTATGTTCATTGCTGAATTACAGTTTGGTAAAGAAATTAGGTCTCATACTTCTAAAATTTTCTACCAAAACAAGCTTAATTCACCTTTTTCCTCTAAAATGCATTTAACTTGAGGATGTTCGGCATACATGTGGTGAATGATAACCAAACAAAAATAATTTTCCATCTCCGTAGAAGATTTCCATCAATTTTTTGTTAATTATTAACTTATATTCGAAAATGAAGCACACGAATCAAAGATCACAGACAATAGCAAGGAATGAAAGCTAATGCAAGAAAAACTTACTAAGTGACTTATAAAAACTGTCTACTTAAAATTATTCCTTGACATGTAGGTCTTACCCCGAAAGAGTGCAAAATCATAATTTTGATTAGAATCATGATTAAGCCAGATTGTTCATTTAGTATGCGGTGATCTTTTAGTTGAATATAGTGTATTCTTCAAAACCAGGGTACTTGTCAATAGACTTTATTAATAAGCCAACTCTCATGTTTTCAATTGAAGAAATCCAAAATATTTTTTATCATCTCCTCATCCCATCTTTCATTCCTACTCACGTTTATTTTTTACACTTTACTTGCTGGATTTGCAAAAAATAATTGACATATGCTTACTGTTAAAAGGTATTTAGGTTTTTTATGTAATACCTAGGGTTTCTTAAGTTTATATTATAAATAGCGTGAGAGGCTAACACAGTAGTTAAGCCTTCTTATTCTTTTACTTCAACAGTAGGCATACATTCCTTCTGAATTAAATGCAAATAA